TTGAATCTCTATGGTAGTGGAGTATCAGGTAACTATGTTCATGTTATCTCTGAATATCTAGTTGTAGTGGATATCAGGTAACTGTGTGCATTGTTTATCCCTGAATCTCTAGTTGTAGTGGATATCAGGTAACTATGTTCATTGTTTATCTCTGAATCTCTAGTTGTAGTGGATATCAGGTAACTGTGTTCATTGTTTATCCCTGAATCTCTAGTCGTAGTGGATATGAGGTAGCTCTGTTCATTGTTTATCTCTGAGTTTCTAGTTTTAGTGGATATCAGGTAACTGTGTTCATTGTTTATCTCTGAATCTCTAGTTGTAGTGGATATCAGGTAACTGTGTTCATTGTTTATCTCTGAATCTCTAGTTGTAGTGGATATCAGGTAACTGTGTTAATTATTTATCTCTGAGTTTCTAGTTTTAGTGGATATCAGGTAACTGTGTTCATTGTTTATCTCTGAATCTCTAGTTGTAGTGGATATCAGGTAACTGTGTTCATTGTTTATCTCTGAATCTCTAGTTGTAGTGGATATCAGGTAACTGTGTTAATTATTTATCTCTGAATCTCTAGTTGTAGTGGTTGTCAGGTAACTGGGTTCATTGTTTATCTCTGAATCTCTAGTTGTAGTGGATATCAGGTAACTGTGTTAATTATTTATCTCTGAATCTCTAGTTGTAGTGGATATTAGGTAACTGGGTTCATTGTTTATCCATTAATCTCTTGTTGTAGTGGATGTCAGGTAACCATGCACAGGGTTTATCCCTGAATCTCTAGCTGTAGTGGATATCAGTTAACTGTGTAAATGGTTTATCCTTGCATCTCTAGTTGTAGTGGATAGCAGGCAAATGTGTACATGGTTTATCCATGAATCTATAGCTTTTGTAATGATCAAATAACTGTAGTTATGGTTTATCCTTCAATCTCATGTCATAGAGGTAATTAGGTAATTATGTACATGGTTTATTCCTGAATTAAACATACACAACAATTTTTTTTAAGGTTGAGGTGGAGCTGGGTGATGTAATTAATTATCTATGAACATCCATTATATTGATTAGTTTCACATAAAAATTATTAATTAAATTAAACTAAGATTAAAACTAATTAATGCAATGAAAGTAGTAACTAATCAAAATTTATGTTTCTGGTTATTCCAACTATCCAAGCAATGGAAATATTGTCAATATGATTTCCCATTATTATGTTTGTTTAATTCAAGTTTGTTCAGCTTAATTGATTTGTTTCATGACTCACAAAAGTAATAAACAATCAAAATTAACGTTTCTGACTATTAATATTCGTGATTATTTTAACTCCCTAATTAATTTAAATATTGCTATTATAATTTCTCATTATTCTTTTTTGATTAATTTGAGTTTGTTCATAAGAGTCTATAAACTAAAATATAAGACTACAGTTTTAAATGCCAAAAACTGGTGAAGCAGTGAAACCAAATAGGCCTAATAATAATAATAATAAAATCATGCTAAAATGTTTTTTTTTTTATATACATTCATTTTAATTAGTTCCTTATGGATTTTAAATTAAAGGTATTTATAAATATCATTTTAAATATTTTTTTGTCAGTCACATTTCAGTGCTAACTTTTTTGGTAAGAGTATTTTAAACACATATCCTGAAAAATGTTAACTTTTTATATACTAAATCATTCATTTGATGAACCTGCTGAAGTTTGAGATTACATTCATTATTTACTTTTAGAAAAGTTATTTTTGCTCTTGAATGAGAAACTCTTGCTTTGGAGTTTATTGATCAATTTAACATTTCTGATCTTTTCCTTTGAGTTCAGTGGTATCTTGTGTGATGTGATGTTATTGTACAATATCTTAAATATGTGAAAGAAGTTTTATGTATATAATTGGGCAACATATTTCTCCCATTGATTCATAAACATTGTAGTGTGAGAAATATTATTTAGGCTCTCTCTCACTTTTGGACTTTTTTTTGGCAAAACATATTTTGAAAATTCCATTAATTTTTCTATTTTTTTACCTTTTCATTTCTCTAATTTGGTTGAATATTTTATCTACTTCTGCCAAAAGAAAAAGCTTTTTTGAGAATATTTAGCATACTGAGAAGTGTTTAAAGCTGTGTGGTGAATATGAAGTGCTAAATACAAACCTCTTGTTATGGCAGCTCTCATTCACAAAATACCAGTAAAATGTAATTGGAACTAATTCATGTCATTACATTCTCATAACAATAAATGGTGGTCAATTGCCAAAAATCAGATGATATAAAACATTAAAAATATAAACTGTGATAAAGCCAAGCACTCTTTTCTATTCATTACTCATATGCTATTGTGTTTAACATGTTGGTGTTTTGTATCAAAGATGTTGGCTTTATTTAATTTTCTTCTGTTCTTAATCTACTGATGTTATTCCAGTTTCTTTTGTATTATGTTATTCTGTTGTTAATTTCTCCCTTTGGTTAAGTTTAAGCAAATGTAAATGATTATTGATATTTGTATTTTTTTTAGGCTCGTCCAATGGTTTTAAAAGCTGTTCAGGGATTTGAAGAAACAGATAAGCTGAGTGTTCAGATAGGAGATGAGATACAGGTTATTGATGGAAGGTGAGTGTATAGAAAATGTGAAAACTGGTTATGTCTACATTGTTTTTATATATTCAGACTTTTTCAAGAGAAATTATAAGCTGTCTCAAGAAGGCAGTTAAAAACAGGATTACCACAGTAATACAAAACAACTATGAGCTTCTGGTCAAAGTATGTATCTCAAACGAACGTTCAAATCAAAATAATAACCTCTGTTCTTTTCAGCCCTCCTTGTATTCCTAACCTTTGTAAAATTTACTTATTTCTTCTCCTCTATATATTTTGCATATTAAAAACTTGTACTGTTTGTTGTTTTCTTTGGTAACCATATGGTAATCAGGAACTATGCACATGGTTACCTGATTTTCACTACAACTACAGATTCAGAGATAAACCAGCTATACCATCTATTAGGTTTAATAAATGGAAAAAAAGTCATTTTTTTTGTAATTATTTTAGATCAGAACCAGAGAGAACTTTTGAAATTGGTCTTTTTCCTCATCGGAAAACTTTTATACAGCTGATGGTTGAGTGTGTAAATTTTGAAGCATCATAAGATCAAACACGTTGTTTTGCTTTACTGTGGGGATCCTGTTTTTTTATTGGACTTCTTGAAAAAGCTTATAATTTTTCTCCCAGAGAAAAAGCTTGGATTTAAAAACAATGTCCTTCTAAGTGAACATATACTTTAACCAAGTATTTTCATACTTTAAAATCATGAGATTTCTTTCATTTCTTCTGTAGATTAATTACAAAGACACGTGTGAAAATTGGTTTTCAAATGACTGGCAGATCAGGAAAACAAAACAAGCAACTCATATTTCTCATCTGGGAAAATTAGTTGACCAGCTGATAAGCTGACCAGGCAATTTATTCAAACAAATTGGATGATAAAAGAAAGATGCCAAAGTTTATTTGTATCTAAAACATTTGTACTGGTAATTAATCTCACATTGGAAATTAGTAGTTGAATAATGCTGATTTCATGTGTGGTTTGGCTTACTGTAAGATGTAACAAATAAAAATGTAGTTTTATAGCATGACCACTGAGAAGTTCCAGATTAATGCAGTGGATTATTGAGAATTTTGATCTATCATATGATACGTGATAATTAATGGTTTTTTAAAAAGTCACCTAAATAAAATATTGTGCAAAGTGCATCTGAGTGTCTCAGATTTCTAACTAGAAAAGTGTTAATGTAATAGACAAGTTTTGTAAATAAAATAATAAAGACAAAGAAACCTACACTCCTGTCCTGAAAGAGTAAAACTAGTAAGTTCACTTTCATAAGTGTGAGCTAAAAAAAAAAGGAAGGCTATGTTATCAGATAAGTTAGAAATTTTTCTTATTATTTTTGTTCTTACTTTAATGCAGGCCTGGTGGTTAGGGAGCTTCACTCACAATCTGTGAGTCACAGTTTCAAATCCCAGTTTCTGAACATGCTCATCCTTTTAGCTGTGGGGGGCATATAATGTGATGGTCAATCCCACTATTCATTGGTAAAAGAGTAGCCCAAGAGTTGGCAGTGGATGGTGTTGACTAGCTGCCTTCCCTCTAGTATTTCACTTTTCAATTAGGGATGACTATGTAGATAATCCACTTGTAGCTTTGTACAAAATTCAAAAAAAACTTATTTTAGTGCACATTTCATGATGGCCCATTCTTTATTGTTCTTTGCTATTTTAACATAACTTTCCCAGTTCATTCAATGATGGCATAAAAGCTAACAATGTGAGAGAGCCTGTTAGGTCTAATGATTGCCTTAAAAATCATCTTTGACTGCAAAACACACGTGTAGTTTAAATTCCAAAATGGATTAATTAAGACAAATGTGGTGAGCACCCTCTGCAGTGTCATTAAAAATGTAGAAATGGTGTGTGTTATAAGAAAAACATATTTTGACTGTTATATATTATCCCATTTTATAGGATATTATGTACTGTTCTGATTCAGATGCTTGTTATGTTGTATTATTTGTAATACTACAAGTGAAAATATTTCAAGCAGTGTGCTTATTTACTTTTAATTATCAACTTAGTACTCTAATCAGATATTTTTGTTGTTAAATATAGTTTTTTTATGATTATTTCAGACCAGAGCATTACTGGTGGAAAGGTCAAAACCAGAGAACTTTTGAAATTGGGCTTTTTCCTCGTCGGATAGGAAGTCCACAACGTAGAAAAACAAATCAAGATATTAGCAAACCACTTCGCCATAGCTTTATCCATACAGGACACTTAGATGCTTCTGGGAAAATATGGGGTAGTCCATCATATATTGATGAGTAAGTGCAGTTTATAGTCATTTCTTTAACCCTCTCTCCATGGGTATCTTTTTCTGTGCATGTCATGAGGTTATGAGTCACATTCCAAATTTAATTTAACTATTTTCTTTTCATGGTATACCAATAAATATAGCATAAAAATGTAACTAATAATCCATATTTTAATAGAACATAAGTTTTAATTTCTTAATTTTATAAAGCAATATTTTAAAAAAATCATAAATTTCCCCCTAGTATGAGAATTGTGACATTTTCTCTCTAGGCATCCCCTCTTCTCTAATTTATTTACCACCCCTCCAAGAAGTATGAATTTTAAAGAAAATTACTCATTATAATGTTGTCATTGCTCAGGCAATGCATAATTTTCATAGCCTTTGATCTTATTTGGTTACAGAGCTATCAAATAGAAAATTAGACCCCATTTATCATGCCCACCTTTCACATCCTTTCTTTCAGAAATTGCCAGTAGTTCTTTCTGGTGTTTAATACTATATTATTTATAACTATCAAATGACATATTATATTACATTGTTTTGTGTATAAAAAGTATACATTTTGCTATCGGTTCAAGCTTTATACCCATGGGAAAACACATAGACTAGTTTAGCTGAATTTTTAACGACTCTTGTTGCATAGTTAGAAAGATAGAAGAATTGTGATAGTTATAGGACATTGTCTGCTTTTTGCATGTTATTATGTTATTGCATGTTCTTTGGTGCATTATTTAATTAAATAAAAAGTTATTTAGTGCAGAACTACAATTAGTATATAAAAAAAATAGTAGGATTAAGTATCTTCGACAGTCAACAGCAAAAAAGGCCAAGTTAAGTATTTTATTTGTTGTTTTTATTGTGTATTCTTTATTTATTATTATAAAAGTAACTAAAATCATCATATAAACTTATACATATAGCATGTTCTGACAAAGATATAGAGGAATCATGTAAAATTAATTGTATACCTTATTGTAGGATGTACCTTCGTAATCCCATGGAACCTCCAGATATTTTGGGAATGCCAGAAGAATCCCCTCCTGCACCGAGGCTACCTGACAGAAATAAAAGTAGGAAAATAGCTTTTCATTTCATATTCCTCCATTGATAGTTTATCAGACTGTTCAGCTAATTTACTTATCTATTTTCTCCTTTGAAATTTTAAACAATGTGTTTTTATGTCTTAACTCTTTTTATTTAATAATCATATACTTATGCCATACATTTTGTGAAATTATTTTGATAATAGTTATGATTCTGAATCTTTTAGTTTATATCAGTAGTGTATCTTAGAACTATAATTAATTTTAACTGTGACATAGCGGCTCATAGAATGGCTCCGAGTTTTTCAAGTACAAACTTTTAGCTCATATCTCTGTCATCTTTTGACTGATTTGAGATCTAATTGCAGTTTTGGTCTTAGGAGGTCAAACCCTTTCGATTTATGTATTGACAACACCCAAGGTCTCATACTTTAAGTTATTCTAATCCAGCCTAAAAGAATTTCAATTTGAGGGTAGGCTGGTAGAGATTCTGATGAGTAATAAAATCAAACCAGGTATACCTCACCCCTACACTTGGTATTGCTGGCACACAAAAATATAGCCAATAAAAAGGGAAAAAAAGGGGTCTCATAGATTATTTTACTCTAATCCTTCTTCAAATAATTTCAAGTGCCATGGCTATTGAGCAGAAATCATATACTTTGTTCTGATATTATAGCAACCCAGTATTTTGATTTATCATGTAAATGACATGTACCTCGGTCTGAATTTATACATATAGCATGTTCTGACAAAGATATACAGGAAGAACTTTGATCAAAAGTAATTATATACAATGCATAAAATAATTAAAGGCTAATCATTTTTCTATATTCTAGTTATGACAAGGCACAACTACTGTTATTATGTAATTTCATTGATAGCCCTGAACTATTTTTTTATGCACTTTTGGTGTCAATGACCATAGATGTCGATTTGTAAATAAATACTTCGCAGGCCAATAAATGGTCGAAAATATTACTGACTAAGATGCATGATCACTTCAGGAACTAAATGTAAATTTTACATCAATGTGACAAGTTTAAAATGAGTAAATGAGAGAGCTTCTGGAGTAATATGGCTAATGCCTTCATCGGAATTGCTTCCAATTCTGCAGCATTGCTTGGAGGTGAACACTTGTTACAAAGTTTCTTCCTAGAGCATCTGACATATGTTCAATGAGATTCAAGTATGTGAAATATGTTGACCAGTCCACATGCTCAGTACTGTCTTTTTCGAAGAAGCTGCTCAGCAGTTGTGTATGGTTTTTATCTTATCATTCACAAGCCAAGGTGATGAGAAAAGTTTAACTTAATCTAGGAAAAGCACCCATCCCCAGTGACGGGAAAAGTTTAACATTATTTCATGGGCTTTAAAAAGGTTAATTGTGTTGCACTCTTGGTTTCATTTAGAGCCAAAGCTCTGAGCTACTTATACCGCCAACACGAGAAGTAATTGTTGAGCATTTCAGTCATGTTAAGAGCCATTCAACAACAACATGTAATAAATCTACATTTTTATTCTTTAAGTTACGTCACATTTTGGAGTGTGAATGATAGGGTGATTAATTGCTAACAATTTATTGTAGAATATCCTGCTTACAAAATTGATTGCTTCGACAGATACCCCAGTTATACCACAATTTCTATACAAGGTCAGAATAAAGTCCTGACCAACACAGCATCCTTATTTTGTATGGTATTCATTGTGTCATGTAGTAGTAGTTAATGAATACTGATTGCTGTGATATGTCTCTTTCCTTCTTAAAATTGGGATTTTATCTGGTCCCAGACACTCTCCAAATGTATACTGATATATCTATTTGGCTGCAGCATGAAGCGTATGTGGACATTTACTCACATCTTTAACTGGTCAATCCATGTGTTCTTGACACTGCTGAAGACAGTGTTTTTTGGTGATGAGTTAGAGGAATCACACCATTGGTCATTTGGCATTAAGGTCAGCACTTGTGAAAGTTTTTTGACTCCTGCCAGCATCCAGTGTAAGAGATTTATCTATAAATGTCAAAGAGGATCTTTAACTACAGCCTAAAACCCCTGAATAAATTACTAGGCTGTTTCCATTTAATCAGTTATTTTGATCTTACAAATTTTAGTGCATTAATAAAACAGTCCCCATATATAGGTAGTTATGGAAGGAACATGTAATACCTTGGGTAGGGTCTTTCCTACACAAATATGTCAATGACTTAATATTGAAAGATGTCAAAATGAACAGTCTAGTTATTTCAGTAAAACCTGGCAGTTCAAAGATAGAACAAAGATACACAATTTTGGTGAGTTTCCATCAGTAATATTGTTTTACTTCGTCATGATGTGTAGTACAGTTTGGATAGTGCAGGGGTAGTTGAAAGGGGAAATCTCTGAGAGATGGATAGATTATCACCAGTGACAGTTAAGGAAAACCTTTATAAAACAAAATACAGATGGCAATGTATAATGTCAGTAATTTTGAGGTAACAACAATCTTGGGGAAGAAATCCAATATACAATGTTTCATTGAAAGTAACTAAATATGGCACATGTAAGGTTTTCTGGGAATATGGTGCTATTTGTTATCTATGAATCTCTCTAGAAACAATTGAACATACACCACTGAATAACTGAATACATCATGTTTACCTAAATAGTCTGTAATTTAATGGATTGGGTATCTGTGAAATATATCAAACTTTACTGTTTATCAAGCAACAAACAAGATGCTAGGGACAAAAAAGAATAAAGACTGAAAGTAAGGTGAGCATACACAGCTTGATGGAATTAAATTAATAGTTTTGGTATTGCTTTAGAACTATGGACCACTGTATGCCCTTGAAATGGAGATATTAATTATTAGGCAGATTATGTAGTGCTCTAGTGTGGTTGAGTAAGAGCAGTGTTTATAATTGTGTGTAAATCCAAGGATTATACCAGAATAAAAATGATATGAGTGTTTTTTATTAAAAGTTTTGCTTAATAGCATATTTTATTCAATGTACAGGTACACCACCGATTTTCCGGCACCCTTTGTTCCAGAGCCTTCAGGATTATTCGTTTTGCCAGACCAACAGAGGTCACGTAATAATAATTCAACAATACACCTCTGACCCACTAATTATACCCTTCCCGTGTCTCTAAAGCACCATGGACAGCTAGAAACTTAAATAAAAGAAATATTAAATGTTAATTAAATGATTAATGAAATACATTAGTACAGTTATAAATGATACAGATTTATTAGTACAGTATAAATGAAAAAGGTTTATTAATTACTGTATTTACAAAGAATGTTACAGTAGTATCACTTCCAAGGTGGTAAATTTTACTGTAATTATAGAGCTAATCACAAAGGTGTGGAAGTGGAGGGCTGTCAGGATTACTGTCTGTTTCATCATGAATTTGTGATGTTGCAGGGGGAACATTTAAAGTTGAAGCCACAGAATTATTGGATGTAGGCCTACTGCTCGAACACACATTCTTCTTGGCTATGTTTTTAAACATTTCATCCAAGCGAAGTTGTTTTATGTACTTTGATCTTTCCCTGTGTAAGTAATCATACAGCAAATGAAAAGTCATTAGCTCTTGTTCCCTGAAGAAGGTACATTGCTCTAGCCCACTGATTAATTCACCCGTCAACTCAATTATAGAGAGATGTACATACTTAAAATGTAACTAGCCCATCCCGAAATAGCACGCGCCACACGCAATGCCATCTGTGGCCGCCCAGTGAACTAGTCTGGCGATTGCGGGAATTTCAAGTGCGCTTTCATAATTTTGTCCGGATTACAGGAGGTACCAGACCATCAGTTGCCAGAAAATCGGTGGTGTACTGTAGAACAAAATGAAAAACTTGATTGAGACTTGAGTGATATAATACTATATCACTGTAAGTGATGAACAAGTTTGAGTACAGTAACATTCATGTCTGTCCCAGTTACCATCCTTTGCAAATACAATTGTACATGATGATGATGTCGGATTATAATGCAATTATAAACATTGTGGGTGTTTTATCAGCAGGTCTGATTCCGTGTCCTGGATGTATAATTAATATTTACATCTTAGTTATTTGTTTGTGTAATCTGGCAATCTCTTGAACAAAGAACCTTGCATAAATCAGTTGGTCAGAAAATAACATATTTTGGCCAGGGAAAAGTCTGGTAAAAGTCAAGGGAATTTCATTCTGCCCAGAGTGTGTGGGAATCGTGTCAGTAGTAACATATAGATCAATGAAGACAATTCTTTGTAGCAAAATTGAATAATTAGTTTGTATTTAATTGTTAGTTGAGTACCATTATTGTTAATAATATGTTTGTTCATAATCTGAATAAAATTTTAAAAGGCTTGACTAACTTAAGAAATATATGCATCAGTATAATTAAAATAGTTATTCAGTAATTATTTTAACATTTTAATCAGTAAGGTTTAACAAAACTAAAGTAAGTTATTACCTATAAAATACTAAGAATGACAGCTTATGACTACAAAAAAACATGAACATGTTCGATGTTAGAGAAAAAGTTGAAATACATAAGAAATGCACATTAGCTGTCTGTCCATAGAATTATAGTAATGGTTTTTAGCCATAATTACTGGTAAGAAACATGTTTTTCTCTGAGGTATAATGTTTCCTAGTGGGACTGTGGTAAGTTTATGGACTTACAATGCTAAAATCTTATGGTGGACACGGAAGATATCTCAATGTGGCTTTGCTCTAAAACAAACAGACAAAGTAAAGTATGATTTATTATTCTCTTGCTTGGTTTTAATACGTGTGCTTACTTCCATTTTGTTTAGATTTAAGGTATGAATTGTAACTTAAAAAAATGTCGGCTTCTGAAGATGATTTGATGATTGCTTTTAGCAATAAAAAAACTACTTTTTTGACACAGCTCCATTTGGCATTATGAGAGCTGTAGTTATCAAACCATTTATTGAAATGCTTTAAAGTTACGTTTTACCTGCAGCATGGAATACGTTTTCACCACAATGTTTGTGGGGATGGAATTGAGAAGTGTTATGTCAAGA